CTGAATAAAAATGTTGTAATTTTGATACAATTTAAAAATATAACTTTGTCAAAAGAAAAAAATTTAGCAGATTTAAAGTAAGAATTATATATAAATGATCTTAATACTCACCAAAGGTGAAATTCACCATATCACATATTTTATTAATTATACATATATTACATAATTTATATGCATATATTTTTTTATATAACGCTTGTGCATAAATTTATAATACGGTATATATATATTGTAAAATTGTGAAATACGAACTAAACTAGAATACTATTACTATAAGACTATATCTACCGGCTATATAGGGTAGATATGGCATATTAGATACATACGTACGTACGTACATATAGTCATGACCAATTTTGAACAAATTGACCCAAGCCATTTTAGCATCAATTTTACCTTTTCACAACATATGCGTACATCTTTATAAAATTCGTTAACTTCTAAATTTAGCCAACACAATTTTAAATCAGGAAAACTCTACCTCAGCTATCGCTATATAGACCAAACTACGAATAAAGTAAAAAACTTGATTTTAACCTCAAGTGATCTACATAACGAGTTTAACTTAGGTTTTACTTGCCATAATCTTATTGTCATATCTTCATTTTACATTAATCCTGTATATGTCCATATTCTAATTCAAGTTAGTAAAAGATTACATTTACTATAATATATACATATGTCGCAAAAAATAGTTTGATATCAAATGAGTGCTACAATATCAATTTAAAGACTTTAGCGATTTTACAATATCTATTGCTCTAATCAATTCTAACTATACACAAACCATAACTAATGCTGATACTAATAGCAATACTAATCAATTTTAACTAACACTATAAGATATAAGAATACTTATATGATCACATCATATTCATAACTATTCTAATCAAATTCAAGTACAATACATGTCTTATACCTGCTATCTATCACAATTAATTTTCTTTAATACTTGGACATTTTTTCTAATAATGGCTAGGTGTTCTACATAACAAACACTTGTGTTGTGGTTTCAAGCTTGCTTCTCTAGCACAATCTTGTATATTATTGATTTGGCTTGTAATTTCTTGCCCTATATTTTGCTTTTTTGACATTTCTATGACATTTTTCATTCTTTTTTTACTCAGTGTGCCTCGAATTTTTGTGACATGCGGGTCATTTGTTTGATCAATCAAATGCTGTTGTAAAGAAGTAATACCATCTTTATCCCAGGTTTCATTATTATCAATTTTTTCTGAATTAATATTATCAATACTTCGCTTAGTTGAAATAAAGTTCTTTAGCAGTTGAACTAATTCATTATCACTTTTAGTTTCCAAAGCAATGTTAATTGCAGTTTTAGCTATTGAAAATACAACTCCAAATTTATTTTTTTTAGGAATAACTTGCTGAACATTTGCATGATTATTAGAACCTTAAAAATTTCTTAGGTTTTGAAGATTTAAGTTTACTTCAATTGCAGTATCCGTAGACGACTCTATTGCTATAAGGGATGGTGAGTTTTTAAGTGCTTGATCTAATTTCATAAGAATATCATCTTTATACTATCTAATTGGTATAATACTAATATGAAATTTTGCTGTGCTAGAATAAAGCATAACCTGCCAAAAATGCTGACAAATAATTTCTTTTGTTATCGTTTCTATGCATATGCATATATGGGATCCATCATTAAAAAGAACTACTAAATTTTCTTTATGCAAAATTCCTCCTATTCTACGAATTCTCCATGTTTCTTTAATGTTTGATATATCATTATCACGTAAAATAGCTTTTAATGTCGCTTGCGGTTCATCAACTACGTCCTCTATAAAATTATCATCTATAGTATCAAAACATAAATTCTATAACAAAAATAAATAAGTATACTAGCTTTATATATACTACATCGTAAATCTACAAATAAAAAACATATTTCAAATATCATGTGCTCTCTCTGTCCTTTATAAGTGAAAGATTATGAAATTTGAAATCGTTGTAGAAATAATATAAGTGGTATCAAAAAATTGACAAGCACGTGATCAACAGTTAAAAAAAATTGAGAAGAGATATGCGGAAGTCCAATTGATTTATATTGTGCCTTAATGTCTGTTAATTTGCAGTATCTAATTTCTTGTTCATATCTTTTATTAATTGCTTCTCCAACTTCACAAAGCAAACTAGCATTATTAAGGGACTTTTTAATAATATTATTGAACGATTCAACACTTTGAGTGCTCTGGATACCAGCGTTAAACTAGAATGATGTATAAGCCTTAGCCTAGCTAAACCTATTTGCATACAATTTTTTAGATATGTAATGCTCATATTCTGAAAAAGTCTTTATCATAGATTCCTATCATTGTTCAAAAATTTTAATACTTAACGAATTGCGATATGAATAAAAAGCCTGACTAAAATTGTTAAACTTAGAACCTAGAGATGCTTTAAGATGTTTGACTATATTTTGCCAGATGTGAAATAAACAATAAAAATACCGTGTATTAGGAAAAACTTGAGATATTGCATTAATTAAACCAGGTTCAGCATTGGCCCAAAAAGACTTTAGAACTATATTATCTGTTGCTTTTGATAAATACTATAAAATTCAAACATATGTTGAAGAAAGTTCATCTTCCACCAATACATTTGCCATATTCCGAAATTTTCTATAATTGTCCTTTACTATGAAAACACTAAGATACATACTGAATTTATTGGTCTTATATGTATTATCGTTAAGCACTATGTCTGAAAAACATTTGTATAACTCTTGTTGAGAGGGTGACATCCAAAAAATACCTAATAAGCGATGTTCAGTACCAGAATGTCAAACAAATACCTTCCAGCATGGATCTTGTAACATTTTTTCAAAAAGAGTATCAAGAAATGAAACAAAATTAAGCCTCTTATTGTTATTCTTATATAATTTATAAATTGCATTATATATGTCTTGCTTATAGAAAACATGTTGAGGATATTTCATTTTAAGCATCTTCAATTGAGTAATAGGTGCTACTTTACAATCTGAAAAAATTTAATGTCTTGCATCATCTCTTCATTAAAATGTTGGTATCTAGCAGTAATATTACATATTTGGGCAGGATTTAATTCGTGATTATATGTACCCTTTAGTGTCGTATATTTTATTTTATGTGTGGTTTTTGGAAATGTAAAGTTGCAATGCTATTCATATTCTGCCTTTGTGGTGCCCCATATATGATGTAAATTTTGATCAATTACCTTCCTAGGTTCGTAGGTACCACTTAATGAATATCAAAAAGACTTGTGACAAGTAATACTTGAATCATTTGGATCTTTATCATTACAGAAAATCTGGTATCCAAAACCCCGCTTCAAGCAATAATTATGCATAAACCTATCAACAGATAACCAATCGTCAAAATAATTTTCTACGTTAAGATTATATTGATAGCTAATACTGGGATTATTGTCATTTTCAGTAAGCGATGAACTGCTTGTATTGAAATTATCATCATCTTCAAATAATAAAGAATTATTGTTATTTTCAAATAATGGTAAAGAGTTATCGTCATCAAATAATGAAGAGTTATTACCATAATTAGAAAATTGGTTATCATTATATTCGGTAAATAGTGAAAGAAGGTTTGTATTAACAATACTATTATTATAGTTGCAAGATATTTAACAAAAGTTTATATTATTGATGATACTATCATTGTCTTTATAGTCAGAAGGTGGTAGAAGATTTATATTGTTGAATATATCAGGAAGTATTATAAACGAATCCCAATTGATATCGCCCATAAAGTGCCGGTATGAGAGTTGATTGCTTGGTACGTTTAAGGTTCACTTCCTTTTTTCGATTCTCTACGTTACTAATAAAATTTGATTGCTTGTTTGCGCAAATGAAAATATTTTTGTGGTTCTGCAAAGCACTTGAAAAAAAGTGTAATCATGGTTACGATCATGTTCATTCCTTATATAGTATGTAGTAGTTTAATAAATTAGTTACATTTGTTTGTGGTAAAATTCACTGGAAATTAAATTCAATTAAATTAAACAACTTATCTCTTGCAGGTGAAATTCACCAGGGTTATTACTCAATTAATTTAAACTACTTACCAGGATCGTTATTTACCCCTGCAGGTAAAATTCACTATAGGTTAATTATAAATAATTTCATATATAAAACTATATTCTAAACAATTCTAGTTAGGGAATAAAGAAGAGTTATCTTAATAAAAAAAGTTTTCTATATACTAATATCAAATTTTTAGTTTTTTTATATAAAACTTTTTTTTTGCTTAAATAACCTGTTTTGACCTCTTAAGTAAATTTGTTTAGTACATAATTCTACATACTTTATATCTTGCCAATTTTGTTTTTTTTGAACTTTTTACTAAGTGAAAGATTGGGTCAAAGGTTATACAACCAATTTTTTTTAAAAAATTTTAAAAAATTTTTTAAAAAAAATTTTTAAATAACATTGATCCAATCTTTCAATTAGTAAAAAGTTCAAAAAAACATAATTGGCAAGATATAAAGTATGTTAAA